GACACCTGGGGACAAGCAGGCACCTTGTGACACTCAGGACACATCCCTGGAACATGCACGGACACACAGACACCTGAGGACACAAACCCTGGTGGCACCCAGTGACACGTTTAATGCCCCCACCCAGGCACCAGCCACCGAAAGTCCCCATCCCACCCACCAGAATCCCTACAAAAGTACAAAACCCACGTAAAAAAATTCCCCAGGAATCCATCGGGAAGCGGGAGCACCGCCGGGAGCAGCCGGTGTCTCCGCAAGGGCGGGTGTCACACGGCGGAGGGGATGTCCCCCGGTGTCCCCCGGTGTCACACGGCGGAGGTGATGTCCCCCGGTGTCCCCGCGGGGCCGGGGCCGCGCCGGTCGCTGCCGGGCGCTCCCAGCTCCAGCAGCCGCTCCAGCTCTCCCGGCTCCTCCCGGCGCCGCGGGGACCCCGGGAGCGGGGAGGGACCCTCGGGGGGCGCTGCGGGCAGGGACGGGGTCAGCGCCCCGGAATCACCCCGGGACAGACGGACCGACGGGCGGGGGCGGCTCCCGACCCGCCTTGGGAAGTGAGGGGGACCCCCGACCTATCCAAATGCTCCCTAATCCCATTTAAGGGCTTCCCGACCCCTTTGGATGCTCCCCAGCCCCACCCCGCGCTCCCCGACCCCTTCCAGGTGCTCCCCAATCCCATTTAGGGGCTCCCCGACCTCATCCAGGTGCTCGGTGATCCCATCCCATCCACCCCAAAATTCTCAGGTGCCCCCAAAGCCTGACCCTCCCCAGGGTTCTGTGTCTCCCCAAACCCTCACCTTCCATAGGGCTGGGCGTCCCCAAGCCCGCGGGTCCCTCCTGAACACAACCCCCAGATCTAGGTGTCCCCAAACCCGCAAATGTCCCCAAACCCCCCTGGGGCTGGGTGTCCCTAAATGCCCCCAGGGCCGGGTGTCCCCCCCAATCCCTCCCAGGGCTGAGTGTCCCCACACCCTCGGATGTGCCCCCAAACACCTTCAGGGCTGGGTATCCCCAGATTCCCTCAGGCCTGGGTGTCCCCATACCCCCTTAGATCTGGGTGTCCCCAAACCTGCGGGTGTCCCCTCAATCCCTCAGGCCTGGATGTCCCCACAACCCCCCAGATCTGGGCGTCCCCACACCCTCGGATCTCCCCCAAATCCCCCCAGATCTGGGTGTCCCCCCACACCCGCGGGCCCGGGGCGCTCACGGGGCTGAGGCGGCTCCAGGCCGGCGCTCTCCGGGCAGGCTCCGCTGTCCCCCCGCAGCTTCTCCGCGTCCGCCGCCACCGCCGCGTCCCCCGCGTCCCGCGCCTTGTCCAGCTGCCGCTTCTTCCTGCACGTGTCCCAGCTGCGGGGACAGCGGGGGACACCGGGGCTCACCGGGGGCCCCCAAACCCCCCAGGCCCCTCGGCACCCCTCACTCACCACTTGAATGCCACGTAGGCCACGAGCCCCACGACGAGGCCGGCCAGGAGGGCGCAGTACAGCGGGATGATGTCCCCGGGGGGCTCGGGAGGGGCCCCCGACACCGGCGGCGTCACTCGGGGGGTCCCCGGCACCGGGGGGGTCCCCTCAGCGAGCGGCGCCGTGGCCTCGTCTGTGGGAAGGGAGTGAGGACATGGCGGCCCTGCCTCAGTTTCCCCTGGAGAGGGGTGGGGGAGGCGAGCGAGGAGAGAGCGGGTATGGAGACAACTGGGGCACGGTGAGGGGGAAAAAAGGGAAACTGAGGCACGGTGAGGGGGAGTGAGGGGGAAACTGAGGCACGGTGAGGGGGAATGAGGGAAAATGGGAAACTGAGGCACAGTGAGGGGGGATGAGGGGGCAACTGAGGCACAGTGAAGGGGGAAAGGAGAAACTGAGGCACAAAAAAGGGATGAGGTGAAAAAGGGAAACTGAGGCACAAAAAGGGACATGAGGGACAAAAGGGGATACTGAGGCACAAAAGAAGGAACGGGATAAAATGGGGGAAACTGAGCACAAAAAGGGGAAATGAGGAACAAAAGGGGAAACTGAGGCACAAGGGAATGAGGTAAAATGGGGGAAACTGAGGCAGAAAAAGGGAATGAGGTAAAAAAAGGGAAACTGAGGCACAAAATGAGGAAACTAAAGTAGGACATGGGGAAATGAAGGAACCACAAGGGGAAACTGAGGCACGAAAAGGGGAAATTGAGGAACCACAAGGGGAAATCGAGGCACAAAAAGAGAAATTAGTGAGCAACATGGGGAAACTGAGGCACAAAAAGGGGAAACTAGCAAGCAACATGGGGAAACTGAGGCATGAAAGGGAAACTGATGTACGAAATGGTGAAATTAGCGAGCAACATAGGGAAACTGAAGCACAAAAAGGGGAAATTGAAGAGCCACAAGGGGAAACTGAGGCACAGAAGGGGAAATAGCGAGTAACATGGGGAAACTAAGGCACAAAGGGGAAACTGAGACACGAAAAGGGGAAAATGAAGAGCAACAAGGGGAAATTGAGGCACAAAGGGGAAACTGAGGCACAAAAAAGGTGAAACTGAGGCGCAAATGGGAAACTGAGGCACAAAAAGGGAAACTGAGGCAGGAAAAGGTGAAATGAGGGAGCAACATGGGGAAGCTGAGGCACAAAAGGGAAAATTAGGGAGAAATGTGGGGAAACTGAGGCACAAAAGGGGAAATTAGGGAACAACATGGGGAAACTGAGGCACACAAGGGAAACTGAGGCACACAGGGGGACCCTGGCCAGCCCTCCCGGTGCCCCCCGGTCCCGGTGCCACTCACGGCTGCAGGGCGGGCAGGGCTCCTCCGGCTCCTCCTCCGCGGGGCTCCGCGCTGCGGGGTTGGAGCATTTTGGGGTTTTTGGGGTCTTTTTTTGGGGGTTTTTGTGGGTTCGGGGTGGTTTTGGGGTACTCACTGCGGGCGCAGGGTGGGCAGCGGCTGTCGCAGGGCTCGGGGACACCGCGGGGACACGGGGGACACCCCCCGGCCCCCCCCGGCACCTGCGGGCACAGCGGTCCTGCCTCAGTTTCCCCTCAGTCCGACTCCCATTGGGACCCCCCCAGCCATGGGAAAAGGGTTTGGAGGGGGGGATTGAGAGCAGCAAAAATAAATAATGAGGAAGGGAGAGGAATAAAAGCGGGGAATCAAACGGGAAGAGTAAAAAAGGAAATAAATAGTAAATAAAAGTGAGATAAAAGGCATTGGAATGGAAAGGAATGAAGGGAAATCAGCGAAATAAAAGGAGGAGAAAGGAAGGGGAAAGCTGAACTAAATTAAAGTGGAAGGAAGGAAGGAAAAGAACGTGAAATGAAGGAAAATAAAGGAAAAGTAAAGAAAAAAAGAAAAATAAAGGAAAATAAAGGAAAACAAAGGAAAATATAAGAAAATAAGTAAAGGAAAGTAAAGTAAAGGAAAGGAAAGGAAAGGAAAGGAAAGGAAAGGAAAGGAAAGGAAAATACAGGAAAGTAAAGGAAAATAAAGGAAAATAGGATAAGTAAAGTAAAATAATAAAGTAAGAAAATAAGGAAAGGAAAATAGGATAAGATGAATCAAACCAGGGAAAATTAAAAAGGAAAATAAAAAATAAAAGAGGAAAACAAAATGAGATTCAAAACAAGAGAATGAAATAAAAGAGGAAAATTTAAAAAAAATTAAAGAAAAAATGAAAAAGTATGATAAAAATAAAATTATAAAAAGGAAAATAAAAAGAAAGCTAAACAGGAAAATAAAAGAAAATAAAGGAAAAAAAGGAGCAAAATGGGATAAAATGAAAGAAAAGGAACTGAACCGAAATGACCCAAATTTAACCGAACCAACCCCAAAAAACTTCAACAAAAGCCAGGGAGCGAAGTGACCCGGAGCGCCCCGGGGCAGCGGGAGACCCGGCCCGTCCCATCCCGCTCCCATCCCGGTCCCGTTCCCCGCCCGCACCGGGCTCAGCAGCAGCAGCAGCAGCGGCACCGGGAGCGGCCGCATCGCGGGCACCGGCCCGGGACCCGCTCCGGGCCGGCCCGAACCGGGGCCGAACTGCTCCGAACCGCTTCGGCCCCGTCCGGCACCGCTCGGCCTCGCTTCGGCCCCGCTCCGTCCCTCTTCTGTCTCGTTCGGTCCCGTTCGGCTCCGCTGGGTCCCGGTTCGGCTCCGTTCAGCTCCGCTGAGTCCCGGCTCAGCCCCGTTCGGTCCCGGTTCGGCTCCGTTCGGCCCCGCTGGGTTCCGGCTCGGCCCCGTTCGGGCTCGGTTCGGTTCCCTTCGCTCCCGGTTCGGCTCCGTTCGGCCCCGCTCGGCTCCTCTCGGCCGCCCCGTCGCGCCTGGGCCGGGCCGGGCTGGGCGTGGCTCCCCCGGGCAGGGCCGGGCGGGGCGCGCTCCCATTGGCCGTTCGTCGCTTGAGGGGCGTGGCCAGGCGTGGAGCCCCGCCCCTCGCAGCTCCGGGGATCCCGGGTTCGAGTCCCGCCCATCGGGACGGATCCAACTTGGACCGGACCGGTCCGAACTGGGATGGACGGCACCGGAGGGACGGCGCCACCCACTCCTCCCGCCACCTCCCCACGGCTCTTCCCCGCGGGAATAAGCGCCTGGAAGCGGGAGAAGCTGATTTATTGAGCCCCGGTGTGGGTGCAGCATCCTGGAGTGGGTGGAGGAACGTGGAGTGGGTGCAGGGTGGGAATGGGTGCAGAGTGTGGGAATGGGTGCAGGGTGTGGGAATGGGTGCAGAGTGGGAATGGGTGCAGAGGGAGTGGGTGCAGGCTGTGGGAATGGGTGTAGGGTAGAAATGGTAGTACGGTGGGAATGGGTGCAGGGTGTGGGATTAGGTGCAGTGTATGGGAATGGGTGCAGCGTGGGAGTGGGTGCAGGGTCTGGGATAAGGTGCAGGGTGGGAATGGGTGCAGGGTGTAGGAGTGGGTACAGGATGTAGGACTGGGTGCAGCACCCCATGTGGGTGCAGGACCCTGTTGGAGTTGTTTGCCCCAGCGTGGCGCACAGAGTGACTCGGAGCGGGTGCAGGGTCTCTCTGTGGGTGCACAGCCTCGGTCCAGGGTGGGTGCAGGGTCTGGGTGCTGGTGCATCCCCCCGCCATCTCCTCTCTCTCCTCTCACCAGCCGCGCACGGGGCGCCAGAGCTGCACCACCTTGCCGGCAGCGTGCACGAAGTACACGGGGTGCATGGCGGCCGTGGCACAGGCCTGCGACAGAGGGGACGCCGAGCTGTGATGTGACGCGGCGCTGGCACAGAGGGGACACGCGGGAGTGACACTCACGTGGAACGGGATGAGCGCCAAGGTGCTCCCCAGCGGGAATCGCTCGAAATCCAGCCGCCCATCCGCGGCCTCCACCAGCCCGTGCTCCTGGGTCAGCCCCACCAGCCTGCGGGGACGCGAGGCTGTCACGGGTGTCCCCCCCGGCCCCGCTGTCCCCCCGCTCCCCGCGGGTGTCACCTGAGCTGGGGGTGGCCCTCGATGGCCGCGCAGCCCGCGGGGCCCTGCTCGCGGCCGTGCAGGCTCAGGGCGGCCCAGCCGCAGTCCAGCAGCAGCTGCCCGCGGTGCCGGTAGTGCCCGGTGACCCTGCTGAGCACACGGATCGCCACCTCCTCGGGCCGGCACGAGCCCAGCTGCGTCTGCTGCAGGTCTGCGGGGGGACACGGGCTCAGCCCGGCCGTGTCCCACCCGCGGGGGTCCCTCCCGGTCCCCCCTGCTCACCATAGAAGAGGTAATTGCCCGGGTGCACCTCGGTGAGCTGCGACATCTCCGGCACCGGGTGGCTGCAGGACGGGGTGGAGCCGATGGTGGCCTGGGGACACGGGATCCCCGCCTGCCGCAGCCTGGGGGACACGCGGGGGGCACCCTCTGGGTGATCGGGGTGCGGGATGTCACCCCCGGGTCACCAGAGGTGGGTCTGTCCCCCCCAGGCACCACAGGGAATAGAAGCAGAGGTGGGTCCTGCACCTCTGGGTGCCCCAAACACTCAAGGGAGCCATCCAGATGTGGCAGAGCCTCCCCCCAGCGTGCCAGGAAGAACTCAAGATGCGACCAGGACACATCCAGATGTGCCCAGGTGCCAGCCAGATGTGCCCGAGAGCCCTCTCAAAGACTCAGGGCTGGTGGGCGTCCCTCCAGATCCCCCCAGATGTGGCAGAGCACCCTCCAGATGTGCCCAGCCATGCCCAGATGTGCCAGAGATCCACCCGTATGAGCTGGACAACCCCCCAGATGTTTTAAAGTTCTCACAGATGTGTCTGAGAACCCCAGATGTGCTGGAGACCCCTCCAGGTGGTTCTGGGAGCCCCCAGATGTGCCTGGGATCCCCTCCAGGTGGTTCTGGGAGCCCCCAGATGTGCCTGGGACCCCCTCAGCTGTGCCAGGCCGTTCCCAGATGTGCCAGAAGTGCCCCCCAGATGTGCCAGGACACCCCCAGTGGTGCCTGGGACCCCTCCCAGATATTTCTGGACCCCCAGATGTGTTGGAACCAGCTCCAGATGTGCCCAGATTTTGGGGAGGGGGTGGGATCCGGGCTTTCCCCGCCACCACCAGGTGCCACCCCGGGCCGGTGGCCCCCGGGACGCGTCCCCAGGTGGGCACATCGCTGTCCCCGGCGTGGCGGGGGTGGAGGTTCCTCCCCCTTTTCCCAGCAGGGCCCATCCGGCCGCAGTTCCCGCAGGATGCGGCCCCCGCCGGGATGAAAGGGCGGCAGGCGGGAGGGAGGGGACAATGCCCCAGGTCACAGCCACATCAAAGGGCAGCGGCGCCGCCACCACCCCCCGGTGCCCCCCGGGCGGGCTTTGAGGGCCCCTTTATGGGGGCGATCGGCATTTACAGCCGACAGCCGCGCCTTGGCAAGGGGACAGCGGCCGCCTTGACCCTTCCTGTCCCCAAATCCCCAAATGCCCAAATGCCCAAATGCCCAAATCCCCGCTCGTCCCGGCCACTCACGCGGTGACGAATTCCAGCACGGCGGCCGTGGTGTCCCTGGCGATGGCCTGGATGGCCGCGATGTCGCGACAGCCGTAGGTGTTCCCGCAGTGCGCGTAGACCCCCACGAGTGTCACCAGCTCCGGGGAGCCCTGGGCGATGGCCCGGGCCAGCGACAGCGCCTCGGGATCCGTGGGGCGGATCCCGGCTGGGAGGGGACACGGTGCGACAGGGGGGTTGGGGACATGGGTGAGGGGACACAGGGACATCGCCCCCATGGAGCGTCCCGGCAGTGGGAATGTGGGAATGGGGTCTGAAAGAGCCTTGGTGGGGCTTTGAGGCCGTTTCTGCTGCATTTTCCAGGCGTGGCTGGGAAAAATGACTTTGGAGGGCTGAGATGCTCCGTCGTGGTTGGGATGGAGGATCTGGGGACTTGGAGGGACATGGGGATCCCTCACTATGGAACACCCTTAGATAATGATTTTGGAGGGGAGGGTTGGATGTTCTATTGTGTTTGGGATGGAGGATTTTGGGGGCTTTGAGGGACATGACGATTCCTTCCCATGGACATCCTTAAGTAAGGATTTTGGGGGGGGTTAGATGCTCCATTGGGGCTGGGATGGAGAATTTGGGGGTTTGGAAGGACATGGGGACCCCTCCCTGTGGAGCACCCTTAAATAAGGATTTTGGGGAGGCTGAGATGCACCATCGTGGTTGGGAAGGAGGATTTGGGGGGTTTGGAAGGACATGAAGATTCCTTCCCATGGAACATCCTCAAATAACAATTTTGGAGGCCTTTAGAGGTTTTGATGGAGGATCTGGGGGCTTGGAGGAACATGGGGATTCCTTCTCATGGAACATCCTTAAATAACGATTTTGGGAGGGTTTAGATGCTCCATCATGGTTTTGATGGAGGATCTGCAGGTTTGTAGGGACATGGGGATCCCTTCCTATGGAACACCCTTAAATAGCAATTTTGGGGAGGCTGAGATGTTTCATCATGGTTTTGAGGGAGGATCTGGGGGCTTGGAGGGACATGGAGATTCCTTCCCATGGAACACCCTTAAATAATGATTTTCAGGGGGTTTAGATGCTCCATTGTGGTTGGGATGGAGGATTTGGGGGGCTTGGAGGGACATGGGGATCCCTCCCTATGGAGCACCCTTAAATAAGGATTTTGGGGGGGCTGAGATTCTCCATCATGGTTGGGATGGAGGATTTGGGGGCTTGGAAGGACATGAAGATCCCTCCCTATAGAACGCCCTTAAATAATGATTTTTGGCGGGTTTAGATGCTCCATCATGGCTTGGAGTGACACAGGACATCCTCCCCCAAGGAACACCCTTGATCAATGACTTTTAGGGGGCTTCAACGCCCCATCCTGGCTGAGATGCCGGATCTGGGGGCGCTCAGAGCACCCCACCCCAGGGGCCAGCACACGATGTCCCCTCCCTGCACCCCGGATGGGATTTGGGGCTCACCTACCCCGGGCATTGCCGCAGTCCAGCTTGAGCCAGACCAGCCAGCGCTTCCCGCCGGGCAGGGGGTTCTGCAGCAGCATCTCCAGGCCCTGGGGGCTGTCCAGGAGCACCTGGAACTGCTGCAGGCGCTGGGCCAGCGCCGAGCACTCGGCCAGGCGCCAGCGCGGCACCGGGAACGCGTACAGGATGTCATCGAAGCCCCCGGCCGCGAAGAAACGCGCCTCGGCCAGCGTGGACACCACGATGCCACGGCGAGAGCCGCCCGTCGCCAGCTCCGCGCCCTCCCTGCCAAGCAGGGAGTGAGGAGGAGGAGGAGGAGGAGGAGGAAATGGCAGGGGGTGCTGGGGGGATGTTGGGTGATAAGGGAGATTTGGGGGATACTGGGAGTGTGGATGGGGGGATACTGGGAGTGAAGATGAGGGGATGCTGGGAGGGAGGATGGGGGGATAGTGGGAGGGAGGATGGGGAAATGCTGGGGATGACGATGGGGGATACTGGGAGTGAAGTTGGGGGATACTGGGAGTGAGCATGGGGGGATGCTGGGAGGATGAGGGGATACTGGGAGGGAGGTTAAGGGGATACTGGGAGGGAGGATGGATACTGGGAATGAGGATGGTGGACACTGGGAGTGAAGATGGGGGGATACTGGGAATGGATAAGAGGATACTGGGAGGGGGCATGAGGAGATACTGGGAATGAGGATGGGGGATACTGGGAGTGAGGATAGTGAGGTACTGGGAGTTAGGGTGAGGGGATACTGGGAGGATGGGGGATACTGGGAGTGAGGATAGTGAGGTACTGGGAGTTAGGGTGAGGGGATACTGGGAGGATGAGGGGATACTGGGAGTGAAGATGGGGTGATATTGGGAGGGAGGATAGCGAGATACTGGGAGGGAGGATGGGAGGATACTGGGAGTGAAGATAGTCACATACTGGGAGTTAGGGTGAGGGGATACTGGGAGGATGGGGGGATAGTGGGAGTGAGGATGGGGGGATATTGGGAGTGAGGATGGGGGATACTGGGTGGGGGAATGAGGGGATACTGGGAGTGGGGATGGGGGGATACTGGGAATGAGAATAGTGAGATACTGGGAATTAGGATGGGGGGGATACTGGGAATGGGGATGGGGGATGGGGGGATATTGGGAGTGAGGATGGGATACTGGGAGGGAGGATAGTGAGACACTGGGGGTGAGGAGGGGGGGATACTGGGAGACAGGATGAGGGGACATTGGGAGGAAGGGTGGGGGGATACTGGGAGGATGGGGATGATGAGAGGGAGGATGAGGAGGCTCCTGGAGGGATACTGGGAAAATGCTGGAGGGATGCTGGGGGAGAAGCTGGGTGCAAGGAAGAGGATGGGGGATACTGGGAGGATGGTGGGGGGATACTGGGAGGGAGGATGGGGAAATACCGGGGGAAGGTGGGGCTGAGGACGGGGTGCAGGGGGGGATTCTGGGGAGGTGCCTGAGGGAAGCTGAGGGGTGCTAAGGGGGACACTGGGAGGGGTCTGTAGGAATAATGGAAGATACTGGGGAGGGGGATGTTGAGGAATGCTGAGGGGGGATTTGGGGAATGCTGGAGGGATTCTGGAAAAATGCTGGAAGGATTCTGTGGGGGAAAGCGGGGAGGATGCTGGGGAGAGGCTGGGGGTGAAGCTGGGGAATGCTGAGGAAAACTGGGGCATGACTGGGAGGTGCTGGGTGGGAAGGTGGGGTGTCCTGAGGGGAAGATGGGGAGACACTGGGACGGATGCTGGGAGGATGCTGGACAAACTGGGGGATACTGGGATGGGATGGTGATGGGGACAGTGGGAGATACTGGGATGATGGGGAGGGTGGGGAGATGCTGGGGGGAAAACTGTGAAGGCGGAGGGGTACTGAGGGGACCCAGAGGGATGGGAGGGATTCAGGGGAGACCCTGGGGGGCTCCGGAGTGGCACTCACAGGGTTTTGGGGCTCTGGGGTGGCACTCACAGGGTTTTGGGGCTCTGGGGTGTCACTCTCAGGGTGTTGGGGGGCTCTGGGGTGGCACTCACAGGGTGTTGGGGGGCTCTGGGGTGGCACTCACAGGGTTTTGGGGCTCTGGGGTGGCACTCACAGGGTGTTGGGGGGCTCTGGGGTGGCACAGAGTGTTGTGGGGGGCTCTGGGTGTCACTCACAGGGTTTTGTGTGTTTTGACGTGCGGCCGCAGGCGCAGCCCCAGCGCCCGGCAGCGCTCCCGCATCCTCTCGGCGTTCCCGCGCAGCGTGGCCAGGTCCAGGGTCAGCGCCGGGGTGGGCAACTGCTCCAGGGGGGCTCCCAGCCACGAGCTGGGAATGTGGGGATGTGGGGAGGGGCGGGAGGACCTGCTGTGGACCCCCATTCCAACCTGAACCCACCCCGCACCCTGAGAAACCCCTGTGCCCACCTTACACCTGCTTTACACCACCCTGCATCCCCAGGGGAGGGTGCTGGGGGTCCCTGTCCCCAGGTGGGGGCACTGGGATCCCCCAGGGATGTGGCCCTGCAGGGATTTTGGGTGGGGATGGTGCTGGAGCAGCTCCAGGGTGTCCCTTCCACCTTGGGCACAGTCCAGGGGTTTCCTGGAGTCAGGTGGATGCTGGGACTGGGGCTTGGGAGAGTGGGAAATGGAGCAGTGGGAACACCTGGGACACCTGGGACACCTGGGACACCTGGGACACCTGGGACGAGGACACCCGGGTCACCTTGGAGAGAGATACTGGAAGCAGGGATACCTGGGACTGGGATCTATGGAACAGGGAGGGACACCGGGGACTGGGACACTTGGGACTGGGAATTGTGGGACTGGGACACCTGGGATTGGGATATATGGGACTGGGAAAGCTGGGATGGGGAAATATGGGACTGGGACACCTGGGAATGGAAAATATGGGACTGGGAAAGCTGGGATTGGGAAATATGGGACTGGGACACCTGGGACTGGGTGGTCTGGAATGGGGACACGGGGCAGAGGGACACCTGGGGCTGAGACACCCAGGAAAAGGGACACTTTGGACTGGGACACCTGGGACTGGGACACCTGGGAATGGGAAAGTTGGGATTGGGACACCTGGGACTGGGACATCTGGGAATGGGTGGCCTGGGATGGGGACACAGGGCAGAGGGACACTTGGGACTGAGACACCCGGGAAAAGGGACACTTTGGGGGCGCTCCTTGGGACAGGATGCCCGGAGCTGGGTCACCCGGGATGGAGCCAAAATCGGGGATCGGGGACACCAGTCCCACCTCCATCGGGACGGGAACACCCTCCAGCAGAGTGTCCCCTCCACCGCGGTGTCACCTGCCCCCCGCGTGTGTCCCCTCCCGGCCGGGCCCTGCCCACCTGTCCGTGTGTCCGTCCATGGCTCCGTCCCGCTGTCCCTCTGTCCCGGCTGCTCCGCGGTGTCCCCGCGGGTGCCCTCGGCCCCACGTGACGCGGTGGCACCGCCGGCGGAGCGGGGACAAGGGTCACTGCCAGCCGAGGGGCCTCGCGGGGGTGGCAGGGCCAGCGCAGGACACGCTCGGAGCCGCGGCCAGCCCCGGCCGCGCTGCCAGCTCCGGATGCGGAGCGACCGCGGGACACAAAGGCGGAGCGGGGCGGGGGCGGCCGGGACCCCCCGGGCTGGGACACGGGACAGGGGGCTGGGGACACTCGGCTCCTGACACGGGTGAGGGGCTGCTGGGGACCCACTGCCCTGCCTGGGCCACGGGGGACACGGCTGGTGCTGCTGAGAGCCCTAAACTAGTGACACATATGGGGAGCTGCTGAGACCCCCCTAAACTCGTGACATGTGTGAGGACCTGCTGAGACCCTCTAAACTTGTGACACACATGTGGGGACCTGCTGAGACCCCCCCAAACCTGTAACATGGGGCTGCACAACTGCTGAGACCCATCCACACTCATGACACACATACGGGGAGATGCTGAGACCCCCTAAACTTGTGACACGTGTGGGGACCTCATGAGACCCCCCCCTAAACTCATGACACATGTGGGGACCTGCTGAGACCTCCCCCCCTAAACTCATGACGTGTGTGGGAACCTGCTGAGACCCTCTAAACTCGTGACACACGTGTGGGGACCTGCTGAGACCCCCCCAAACTCATGACACGTGTGGGGACCTGCTGAGACCCCCCCCCCCTAAACTCATGACACGTGTGTGGGGAGCTGCTGAGACCCCTTAAACTCATGACACGTGTTGGGACTTGCTGAGATCCCTATACTTGTGACATGGGGGTTTAGAGCTGCTGAGACCCCCCCAACTTGTCACACTCAAGTACAGCTGCTGCTGAGGACCCCCACACTCGTGACAGGTGTCGGTACAGCCACTGAGATCCCCCAAATTTGTCACACGTGTGTGTGGAGCTACTGAGACCCCCCCTAAAATTGTGGCAGGTGGGTACAGGGCTGCTGAGACCTCACAAACTCACGGAAGGCGGGTACAGAACTGCTGAGACTTCTCCCAACTCCTGACATGGAGGTTCACAGGGGCTGAGACCCCCCGCTTGTCACACCTGGATAGAGAACACCTGAGACCCCCCCCCAGACTCATGACATGGATTCCAGGGTTGCTGAGACCCCTCCCCACACTCGTGACCCGCGTGTGTGCAGCTGCTGAGCCCCCCTGCCCACAACAGGTGGGCACAGAGCTGCTGAGTGCTGCCCCACTGGTGACACGAGTGTCCCCATGTCCCACAGCCTGTGCAGAACACCAGAGTGGGGGGACACTGGGGGACACACACAGGAGAGGTTGTGTCCCCACCTTGGGGCAGCCACGGGCCTCACACCTTGATTTCCCACAGATATATTATTATTATTAATTATTATTATTAATAATAACAATTCTTTTTCTGTAAAACTTCTAAAAATGGATAGAAATAAAAAATAAGGGGGGTGGGGGGGACACCCACAGGCTGCTGGCTCCTGGCCAGCAGGCATGGTGTGGGGGGGGGTCTGTGCCACCCCCCTTGCCAGCGAGGGGTCCCCAGCTCCTGCTGTCCCCACCCCCTGTGACAACGGGGGAGGCGTCCCCCCAAAATCCAGGGGGGCTGGACACCCCAGCGGGGCTGGATAAGGCCACGGATGTTGGTCAGGACGGGGCTCTCCGGGCCCCCCTCGGTGCCCGGGGGTCCCCCAGTCCGTGTGGGGGGCACGGGGCCCCCCGAAGGTGGGTGATGGGTGGGTGGTGGGTGCCAGCCTAGGCCCTGCCCTCGGCGGGGTTGTATTCCGTCTCTCCGGCCGACACCTGGGAGATTCGCCGCGTGGAGCGCCACAGCCGCCGGTGGAACTGGCCCGGCCGCACCTGGGGACGGGGGGAGCGCCGTTCCCATCCCCACATCCTTCATCCATCCCCTTCCACATCCCCATGCCATCCCAAGGTCTTCATCGCCTTCTCCATCCCATCCCATCCCATCTCATCCCATCGTCCTCATCCCCTCCTCCATGCCCATCCCATCCCATTCCCATCCCATCCCATCCCATCCCATCCCATCCCAGGATCCTCATCCCCTTGTCTATCCCCATCCCATTCCAAGATTCTCACTCCCTTCTCCATCCCCATCCCATGGTCCTCACCCCCTTCTCCATCCCCATGCCATTCCAGGGTCTTCATCGCCTTCTCCATTCCCATTCCATCCCAGCCCAAGGTCCTCATGCCCTTGTCTGTCCCCATCCCATTCCAAGGTCCTCATCCCTTTCTCCATCCCCATCCCATCCCCTTCTCCATCCCCATCCCATTCCAAGATCCTCATCCCCTTCCCCATCCCATCCATCCCATCCCAACCCAACACCCTCATCCCTTTCTCCATCCCCATTCTCATCCCAATATCCTCATCCCCTTTTTCATCCCCATCCCATCCCAAGATCCTCACCCTCTTCTCCATCCCCATCCCATTCCAAGGTCCTCATCCCCTTCTCCATCCCCATCTCCTTGCAGTTTCTCATCCCATTCTTCCTCCCCATTCCTTCCCAGATACTCATCTTCTCCATCCCATCCTCTTCTCCTTCCCCATTTCCATCCTCATCCCCTTCCAGATCCTCATCCCCTTCTCCATCCCAATCCCCTTCCCAAAACTCTTTATCCAACCCCATCTTCATCCCCTTCTCTCTCACCATCTCCTTCCAGACTCTCATCCCCATCCCCATCCCCATCCCCATCCCCATCCCACCCTGGTCCCCCTCAGCTCTGGAGGGGACACACAGATATCCCCACGATCAGAACACCCAGGGGACACCCAGGGGACACTGAGCCACGTCCCTGTCCCACCCAGCCCTGGCTGGGGGTCCCGCTCACCTCCGCGGGCTGCCCAGCGCCCACCACGATGAGTTTTCCATCCTCCAGCCCCACCAGGATGTGGCTCTTCTCCTTGGTGACGGACACGCTGTGCACGGGCACCCGCATGGGCACGGGGGGCACGGCCGCCCTCAGGCTGGGGACACGAGCCATGGCGTGGGACACAAACCATGGCACGGGACACAAGCCATGGTGTGGGACGCGAGGCACGGCATGGGACACAAACCATGTCGTGGGACACGAGCCATGGCACGGGACATGAGCCATGGTGTGGGACATGAGGCATGGCATGGGACACCATGGCATTGACACCATGGCATGGGACAGCACGGTATGGGACACAAACCATGGCACGGGACACAAACCATGGCATGGGACACCACGGCATAGGACACCACAGAATGGGACACAAACCATGGCATGGGACACCACAGCATGGATATCATGGCATGGGACACAAACCATGGCACATGACACAAGACATGGCACAGGACACAAGCCATGGCATGGGACACCATGGCACATGACACAAGCCATGGCACATAACACAAGCCATGGCATGGGACACCATGGCACGGGACACAAACCATGGCATGGGACACTCTGAGGGTGTGTTGGGGACAGGACAGGGCACAGCCATCGCTCACCTCTGGAGCTCACGGATCTCCAGGCCGCACTCCGAGGTCCCCAGCACCACGAAGTCCTCGGTCAGGCACATGGCTGTCACCTCCCGGTCCAGCGGGACGGAGGACAGGAGCTTCCCGTTCACCGAGTACAGGTGCAGTGCGAACCTCTCCTGCAAGGAGCACACGGGGACCATGGGGCGGTGCTGGTGGCCGGGAGGGGACCATGGGGACACCTGGACGTACCTTGGAGCAGGAGGGCTGCCCCACGGAGGTTTGGGCCACCACCTGCCCCTCGGGCCCCACGGCCAGGTGGGACAGGACAGCAGGGGGACAGCTCTCGCCGGGCGGCCGCAGGGAGCGGATGAAGAGACCCCGGCGCACGGTGTGGGTGATGATGGTGCCGTCCTGGGGGAGGAAGAGGACACAGGGTGACAATGGTGGTGGTGGCACTGCCCATCCCACGCCCACCCTGTGGTGTCACCAGCTCACCTTGGAGCCGGACACGGCCATGTCCAGCTCGGTGCTGATGGCCACACACGTCACCTCGGCATCGTGGCCGTACAGCACCTGCACGGGTTTGGGAGCCAAGCCGCTGGAAAAGCCACCCTGGTGGTGGGGACACGGGGACATCAGTGACCTGCTGGCAGCGCCCACCACGAGCTCCCCCTGCTCCTCGAGCCCTTACCTGCTGTAGGACCTGCCACACCATGCAGGTGGTGTCCCGTGAGCCAGAAATGAGGTAGATGCCACACAGGTCAAGCGACAGGCAGGTGACAACATCTGTGACAGCCAGAGGGACACCATGAGGTGCCTGTCCCCTCCCACCATGCTCCGCCCCCTGACTCCATGGGATGGCACCACGATGGGTTTTTGGATGTGGAATTGCTGCCAATCCCATTCCAAGATGCATTTTGGGGTGTGGATGCTGCTGCTCCTCACCCCGCTCCAGCTCTGTGGTTGGAACCTGGACTGTTTCCAGGAGATGGAGACACTGGGAAATGCCCCTCATGGTGTCACCTGCCTCACACCATGGCCCTACAACCCCATCAGGGCATCATCATCATCATCATCACCATGGGAGGAGGACGTACCTATGTGCCGGGTGATGTGCCCCACCACCTTGCCTTTGGCCAGCGAGGTGACACGGAGGCTGTTGTCCCAGTGTCCCCCGCTGAAGAGCAGCTTCCCGTCGGGGGACACGGCCAGCGTGCGCGAGCTCAGGTCGGCCCCGGGGGCGAAGGGGCCCTGCAGGAACCGCTGGGTCCTGTGGGGAGGACGTGGGATGGTGGTGGTGGATTGGCGGCACCTCCAGGGACCATCCCTGGGGACCCCGTGCCCCAGTGACTCACTTGGCGTTGGTGACAGTGGGGTCTTTGGTGAAGCTGAAGTAGTTGGAGATGTTCTTGTCGTAGGGCAGCCAGTTATGGGTCCCCAACAAGCCGTTGGCACTCACGG